GTCTATTATTTGAAACAAATGCATGCAACAAAAATCAGTTATACTTTATAGGTGTAGAGAGCCCCCTTAAAGACAGAGACCACACAAGCAGAGAATTTTTGTAAGAATATCTTTGTAGTCATTTCTCTCTCTCTCTCTCTTTCTCTCTCTCTCTCTCTCTCTTTCTTTCTCTCTCTCTCTCTGCGTACTTTTAAAACGGTACATTACATTTAATCTGCAGATAGTAAAGATTTTTTCCATAACTGCACGACCTAGAGTCTAATATTTTTAAATTATATTATGAACCTTTGTGTCATTTTAATAAACAATAACAATGTTATAATGAATCATTTGATTTGACAAAAATTTAATAAATTTAGAGAGGATTATCTTACATGTGCCATAGTAGTAAACGTGTAAAATTTATTTCTTGACTCAAAATGTGTACATATGTAAACTGTTTGCATTTTGTATTCATTATTTTTGCTTGCATATACATTTCTAATGAAAATTTTTAAATCTTCTGTCTCAAACATAATTATCTGAAGTATTTATCAGTAGAATCAGTATTTATCATGGAATTTATTATCAAAGGCAAAGTCATTAATAATTATTAGTATTTATCAGTAGAATCAGTATTTATCATGAAATTTATTATCAAAGTCGAAGTCATTAACCTGTATCATTTTCGGGAAAAGGGGGAGTGGCTGTAATTAAAATTCCAAAAATGTAGTTTTGCTTAATTCCAAAATACATGTACATGTACGGTCCTTTTCTTCCTTTCAATTTATAAGACTTTCATCATTGAAATGTTGTAAAAAAAAAAACAACTAAAATTGGTTCCTTATAAGATACATGTCTCCTACATGACACTATAAACCCGTGCATGTTTCAATTAGTGCAAGTATTAATTTATCTATAATTTGTGTTATTCTGTACTTTGACGTGCTACAGTTTATACATTTTTGTACCATTGGGCAATGTTTATGTTTCTGCGCCTGCGCAATTCAACGTTGTCAAGGACTTAGTCCTGTGACTAAGCGTATCTTTTACGACTAGACTTACGCTACTTGGTGAAACGCAAATTACGCCCGACTAAACTTTGGCGTAAGCCCCGGAAGTACGCCTAAGTTAAGGCTTTACTTTACGACTTTTGATGAAACGGGCCCCAAGAGCTTAGAAAGATGACATCAAACTATAGATATAAAACGGAAGACTTTGTTTTATTTGATTTCATACACATGAATTATCATTACCATCATCATCACTATTATCAATGCATATATGGTCTTGTCTCATTATAGAAGTGATGTATCACACTGGAATAAGTAATAACTTTTTTTGATAACCATTAGTGACTAAAACTAAGAAACATAACTTTTGAGATCTCCTCTCTAACATTGAACCAAAATATTTTCCAAATATTTTCCCCTAAGATTCTTTGCAAATAACAAAAGATTCATGCTCTCACAAACTACCATGGGATGAGTAAGAATAAATTTACTGTGATGTGATTGAAGCAAAAAATAATAATGCAATAATAATCATTGATCAACAAATATATAGTAGAGGTCATTAGAAAAATTTTGTAAATATAAGATATGAATTTGATTTTTGTACATACTCAACGACAACGCTTCATGCCTGTGTAAAGACGAATAATAACCCCCATCGAATAATGACGGGGGTCATTTTTCCAACAGCCGAAAAAATGACCCCCGGTCATTATTCGACGTAGAAAAATTACCCTTTTGCCCGTAGAAAAAGTGTCACCACCCTAAAAATTTGCAGAATCCACGTGAAGAAAAATGACCCCCGTAGAGAAATGACTCCCTGTGGATTTAAGCTGAAATTTGTAGGGGCAAAAAAAAATTAGATAAACAAGCATGTTGGCCAAAATGCTCACCTGAGCTTATTTGGAATTAATTGATGATATGTTGATCTCATAACATACAAATATGCCGGTAGCTATATTTTAAGGCCAATGCGATGATTCAGAATCTAAAAGAGTAATGATTTCGATGGTGGAAATCATCGTACTGACAGAAAAAATCAGCAGAATCGTATATTATTATATCCTCCGCTTGAAAAGCGGGAGGGTATACTAGTATAGTGATCGGGATGTCCGTCCGTCCGTTTGTTACGCTTCGGGGTATCCATCTGTTATCCGCAACTCCTCTTATATATAAAAAGATGTGTTTATGAAACAGCTATGCCCCTGTATGGCAACATTGTGAAGATTAAACTTTTCTTAAAGGCAATTTAAATATAATGGTACCCAAAGTAGGGTCTTCTCACAAGAAATACAATTGCAGAATAGGAAAGCCCTAGCACCACTTGTTCAAAATTAATGGCTAAGGATAAGTGCTTGAAAGGTAGGTCAAACTCAAAGGTCAAAGGGTCAAAGTTGATGGATTCTTAAGAAAGGTTTAATGTAACAAGGATTACATTTGTGAAGTATGAGAGTACTAGTTTCTACCGTTTAAAAATTATAGCCAACGTAAATTAAAAATTTATTTGGCATTTTTGTGTAAAATGGGACAAACTCCGAGGTAAAGGTCAAAAGGTCAAATTTGGTGGTACCCAAAGTAAGGTCTTATCACAAGGAATATACACATATTGAATATGAAAGGCATAGCTACAATAAATCGAAAAGTTATAATAGTCAAGGTAAAAGTTTTTGCGGAGAACAAACCGCCAGATAGACATTACAGTACGGACACCTTAAAACTATATACCCCCGAGTCTTCGATTACAGGGACATAAAAAGAAATGGTCTTCAATTAACTTTTCATATTATGATACAGTATAAAGAAGACGTTACCAAAAATGAAAATGTTTGTTCTGATTGTTCATATTCTCTGAAAATATACTCAGAACTGGGTAAAAGGGTGGAGTAAACAAAGAATTAAGAAATGTAATGAATACTGTGTGCTAAATCAAAAGTTTATGTCTACATGTAAAGTTTTTGCATTAGAATGGGTATCTAACACTAGCCCATAGCTCTACAGAGCATAATTATATATTTTTAGGTGTTATACCCACCCCACCCCCTTACGTACTTATTTAGGAGGAAGTCGATTATCATCAAAAGCAACAAAAAAAAAAAAACAAACTATCCTACCTTTATTTTTCTATAAGGAATGACTAAAGATAAGCTTAAAATAATCTACTTTTCTACTAATTTTCAACTGTTACTTTGCCACAATACTTTCAAGTATACCCCCACCAACATTTAAAGTATGCTTTAATCATGGCGAGGTAAATTATGATATGATAGAACTTGTGTGAAAAATTTCAATATTTTATCTAGAGCCTCTTTCAGTATTATTGAAAGGTACAGGGTTTTATTTCTTTATTTATTTTTTTTTTTTATTTAACGTATTTTTTTTTTGGGAGGGGGGGGTAAAAATTTCATGGTCAAATAGGATTTGCCAAATTTACACAAGCTAAACGTATGAAATGAAGGAAAAATTATTTTTTTCTATTAAGAGAATTGGAATTTGATTGTTGCATGGTTTGATTTCTAAAAACAAGTGGAATATCATTCTTTAAGCAAACATTATTAGGAGGTATATTAAAAAGAAATTTTATTTACTTGACAATTAAAGAATCTCTTTTCACTTTAAAGGGGGTCATTTTTCAATGGGGGTCAATTTTTTATAAAACTAACATATAAAATAATGACCCCTGAGGTCACTTTCTCACAAAAAATGATTTTTTTCTACGGGTAGGGGTCATTTTTTGTCGTTGAAAAATGACCCCCGGTCATTATTCGATGGGGGTCATTATTCGTCTTCTACACCTGCACATTTGTAATGAAGCGCTAACTCTTCGCACTCACGTTTAAATACATAAACATTTTAAGATATGTTGAATAGACTTAAAAATTAAGACAGCGTTGTAATACAAGTACAGCCACTTTTGCTTCAGTAGCCTTCAGGTTCTCTCTTTATGTCATACATGTACATATACATATTCTAATGATAATGTGCAGGACCTTTAGTCGACAAGCTTTATCGATATCTGTTCTAATCACATGATTTCATGCATCTTTCTAGGTAAAATTGAAATTCCAAACATACTGATAGAAAAGTACATTTGAAATATCTCATTATCTAAAAAAAATATTTTGGTTGTAGCTAAAATTGTAATGTTTCAATAACCAGAGACAGGCGGTTGGAGGAACAATTGGACAAAGACAACCATTGTTTTGGAAGTTTCTATCAAATTTACAGTTTCTTTTGGATACTGCTTCAAGTAAGACCTAACATTGGTTCTGTGTTAAGTAATGTAAGTTTAATAAAATAGAATGGAATTCTTTGACGAAGGAATTAATTATGAAAAGAGTGGCTACCAAGAGTGAACTTTGTGAACGTGTTCATGAATCTCAAATATTTTTAATGAAACGAAGCGTTTAAATGTATCACGGCTCGTATCCGTCATATGACGTTATTAAGTTGTGGCGACTATCATAATCGCACGTTGTATATAATCCGATATTTTGAAAAGTATGAATCATGTTGAATTGAAATTTTGGATCAACCCTCGTAGAATAGAATTCTTTGGTGTATGAAATATTAAAGTTTATAATCATGACAGAACATGGATGACTTATCCGAAGTTACACTTTACAGATATATTAGAAAATTTGCTTTTATATTGTTAATATTACTCTCACAAAGTTGAACTCTTTAGATATCATCATCACAAAAAAATATTCATAATTAGTATTTGTTCCGTAAATACACTTAAAATTGTTTAGTTTTCATGATTTTTTGAATTTACAACTAAAACGTTGATATATTTCCAGAATATTAAAATCTTAGCTTGTTATTGCATGTGTGATATTTTTATGAGTTAATTTAAGGTCCCATTTATTACATTTTTTCTATATTATGAAGACTGATTAATCAACACACTAAACATTTTCATTATTTAAAAAAATACAAATAAATATTATAGTATGTAAGTATTGTTATAGTATTTGCCAAAATATTTTATTATAGAATTCAAAAACATTATTTTGAATATTTGATGATCTTCACAATACCATTCTCATACTCCCCCATCCACAGTCGTCCCAGCGTGTCCACACTCATTAGTCCACAGAAATCCAGACTACGGAGAAACTGACCATCCTGATCAATGATGTGAGTACAGAAATTACCAACATCCTCAATTATTATACAGCCCGCGGAGTCTGTGACGATAGTCGAAGGTTCAAACTGCACCCTCATCGTCTGCTGTCCTTTATATCGGTATCTGAGTTTTCCTGCCTTATTCACCACAACGACTATCTTACCATTGACGTCAGAGGCACAGATATCCCCGTTGTTGTTTTCTGTCACAAAGAGCATCTTTTCCCCTGCTTCATATAGTGGATTACCTTGGTCGTCCTTCTCTATCTCCTGCTTTATTGTTTGACCTTCATAACGGACAATTTTATAATTTTCTTCATCATGTGTACACATACTGACCAGTAAGCCACCTGATTATGTACAACACAGTCCTAATGGTTGCCATCCCTCTGGTGCTGTGATCTGTGCTGTTGCCAGGTAGACGTCATTAATTACATGATTAAGTGCATCTGTGTACAGCAGATGTCCTTCTTTTGAAACTGAAATGTCACTAGGAAAAGTTTTGTAAGTAGAAGTAACAGTCCCCTGTACAGAACCCTGTTTGTTGATACGAGTGATGGTTTTATTCCTCCCTGATATCCACATCTCCTCTGTATTTAGAAATGTCATCCTCATCAAATCTGTTATTCCTGTGTGGAAGGCTGCAATTTCTACGGCTTTATCCAGGAGCTCATTGGATACATCTAACCTGTAGATCGGTTCTGTTTGAATCTTTGGTTCTGTTAATTTTCCAAAATCTTGGTAAAGTTTACCTTTATCTACGTCCTTGGAAACGAAAACTGGTTGTTCCACTTTTACATGTAGTGGAATGTTTAAATATATCTGAATATTGCTTTCATATTTTGTGATGTGACTAACGTCCATGGACTTGAGAAATCATTTTGTTTTACAGAGCAATTTCATTTAGACTTTTAAGAGCATTTTTGATTTTTTTCTTCTGGTTTTCTTTTAATTTCCTGATGCAATCTCCTCCATTTCTGCAATATCTTATTGTTCTTTGCAACGATTTCTTCAATGCATCGCTGCCATTCTTGCCCATGCTCTGTGACTGATTGTTCTAATTCGTCAAATTTAGCATTCAAAGCCGCTAACTTGGATTCTATTTCTGTATCTGCTTGTTCAAACTTTGGAATTATATCGCCATTTAGATAAACTGCGTCTCTCTCTATATGCTTTTTCTTTTTACCAACAATGTCCTTAATATCAATAATTCTATGACCATTATGGGCTCCGCTAAGACACTTAAAGCAAACTTCTACATCACAGTTCTTACACTTAAAAGAAAACTTTTGCCACAATGGGCTTTGCAGTTTGGAAATGAAAGATGGAATTTTTTCTCTCGGTATTTGACAATTTCGTAATTAGAGAATGATGACGTCATAGTGTTTCCCAACGCATCTCTTCACATTAGTTGACCTGACAGGGATTACAGTGAAGAAGGGCGGCTTCTGTCACAGAGGTGACACAGGATAACGTCTTGTGCTTTAGTTGTACTGGTGGCCATTTTGGCAGTGTTACGAATTTCCTGTAAAATTCAATCTACAAACAGACGAAAATAAATACTCAATAAATTGTAGGTTTAGGTTGCAATATGTGTAACTTATGCTTTAAATTCCATTTAAAGACAAGGTTAATCATTCAATGAAGACATTTGTTTGTTTTTGCTTTGTTTTTTTTAATCCGTGCGTGCATATCATTTGCTTTGATAGATCCGCCACAGTCCTTTAGATGCTTTCATTCATCTTACTAAAGACTTTGGTGTAAAAAAGATATTTAAACTAAATTTGAATATATTTGATCAACGCATACTATCTATTTCTAAAGTCAGTATACTCCTTACGTGCCTGTAGTCATGTTTTGTTAGCCGCAATATCCGGTCAGTAACTGAGTCTAGTAGAGATAACATTTTTCAAATATTACCCTAAATATACACATTTTTAAAATTTATTTGTTGTGAACAAAGGAAACACTTTCACGTATCTGTTTCATATCAGCCTGTTGTATAGTTTGAACATTACAATATGAACTTCCGTATTGAGAATACTTTTTAGGGTAACAGTTATAAAAAAAATTCGAGATAATTGGGTACGCATCGGTCAGATACCAGGTATGATTTTGAGAAATGAATATCTTAAGATGCTACCCTAATGTGTTTAGTTTTATTATACTCGTTTTTCGTTATAAATAAAACAAAAACTATTACCTCTCTGTTCTTTTGCAGTTAGAGTTGTTTCGCTTCCTACATGAATATAGCAGTTAAATCCAACTTAGGTCCGTTGCGAAAACATATTGTTCGGTAAAAGGAGAGAAAAGATGTAATACTAAGTATTTCAAGATGCAATTTTAAGGGGCTCTCTACACCTATAAAGTATAACTGATTTTTGTTGCATGCATTTGTTTCAAATAATAGGCCCCATATCCGATAAAATAAGGTTCCAAAGTACTTCAATTTATTTTTTAGAAATATTTGAAATATTTTATTTATTTTGTTAAAATCCCTCCTATCTATATTTTTATAAGCCCAGTGCTTTTAATTTCTCTTCAAAGTTTAGTGTTACAAAATATTGAAACAATAACCAACAAAGATTAAAAAAATCAACATAATTTTTATTTAAATTTACAAAAATAGACAAAAGAAAAACTAAAACAGCATTTTCTTGAGAATAGCTGGTTGGATCTCTTCAATATCTGAAAAAGATATATAATATCAAAGGTTAAAAACAATGAAAAAAAGAAATTGAAAAAAATTGAAAAACTGTCAAAAATTTATAAACATCACAAAAATTCAGGTGTGAGAGATCCGCTTTAGAAGTGCACTGATCTGGTATCGTTTTTTTCTTTATATATAAACTTCAAATAAACTCTACTTGCACAAGTATTAAACAAATGTCACGCAAGGACATTGAAAGAAGTTCGTATTGTACATGTATTGTTTTTCAATGAGTTTAAAGCGGAAATCATCGCGTTTTCAGTCAATGACAAAGACATGTATTTAGTGAATTCATGGATTGAGTAGAAGATTGACTTGCGAATTGGTTTTATCTAACTTGCATGTGTTATTCAGTGCTATATATAACAAAACAAGTTAGATGGTAAATGGCCAAGCGGTAAAAGAAATTCCTATAACCAAATGCACACTTCGTTTAAAACCTGCACGTTTCCCATACTTGTAAACAGCTGACAATCAATGGTGATCAAACGTTTCCGTCACATCCGCCCTAGTTTCACTGGGTATAACCATTCCTTCGGGTGTATACAAATCGAGAAACAGAGTATCCTCTAGTTCTATGGGAAGATAATACATATGTCTTATCTTATCAAATTTGCATTTTAGGGGGGATATATTTTGCTGAAAAAGCATATATGCTTATTGGAGAAATAAATTTCTGAGTGTATGGCGTTTTGACACGAAATGATGAATTAGCATATGGACAAGCCATGTTTTATATCATTTTTTTCTCATCTAAAAATCTTATTCTAATAAGTTTGTAAATGTATTATTTAATAATTAAATAAGTAGAAAATGAATAAATTGACAAACAATTCATTTTAAAAGAAAGGATACGTATTGGGCAATACACTGTATTAATTGATGTGATATAATGTACATTCCATCCACAATATCGCATGTTGTGTTATACTTATTGATTTATCGGTGTAAAGTGAATTTGAATCTCAATATCTGAACATTTGGGATCAAAATGGCATTTTTACGGAAGTACGCCATGTTGTGACGTTGTAGAGAGCCCCCTTAAGAACCACAGACCTTTAGATTCTTAAATTAATCTAACTTATAAAAAAGAAATGTGTAAAAAAGATATTTCAAACTATATTAAATATATGCATCACATTTGTGCACATAAATTTAGATCTGATTTTCAGAGAATCTTTAGTATATCTAATCAATGCAAAGCCGAAATACTAGACGATGCAATTTGGATCAAATTTAGCCTCAAAAGTTTAGAAACTTTTATAATCGTCCTTTAAGAACATTGGAATACAAAATCATTTTCATTAATTTTGAATCAATGCTTAGAAAAAAAATCGCACTTTGAAGGCCTCAAAAAATTTCTTTACTGTTCATTGAATTAAATTGCCTTGAAAGAGAGGCCACTCATTACTTAATGTTGTAAGAAATGCAAAATTTATTATATCACCTATTCAAAAAAATTCAGGAAGGCAATTGAATGAGAGATATTACCTATATCTAGATAATTCTTTTAATAAAAATCTACACAAAACAGTTAACGAAAGGGAGATAATAAAATTATTCCAAGTAAATTTGATTAACTAGATTACAATGAATAGTGTCATCACTAGAATGACAAAAGCTTAAACATTTACAGTGTTACATAGTATAGTTTTGCATGTACACGTAAAACAAACCCCATTAATTCGATTTTAAGAAGAAAATCGATAGCGGCCACCCTGGGTTATCACTAAATGCAGAACTAATGAAAGTGGACAAAATGAAAAACAAAAAAAGTGGGAAAAATGAAATGCTTCCCTGTATTTTAGTTTAATTTTTTCCCCAATACCTTTCTTATCTTTGCAATCGTGTTTTTTATCACAAACATAACATTATATGTCAACTAGACTTAAAAATTTTATCATTTTCTTCACCATAAAACATTATTTGGCTAAAGAGTCTATTGTGAAGAGGCAGAAGCTGTGTAGCTAAGTACGGTCTTGTTGGTTGAAACCCATGACGTGTTAAAAGTCTATATGTCCTATCCGAACGGGCCATCTTTTAGCCACATCCACTCCATTAATACCGCTCTAACATTGACTTTATTAAAAAAGTTTTCACCTCCTTTGAATACTCTATTCCGTAACCTTCAACATCCATTTTTATTATTTCACTATAGGAACACAACAATTCATTGCTGTGTTCTTTTTATTGATTTTTTTATATTTGAATAATTAGTAAATGATACATTGTATTATAGACTTTTGAAGTGAAAATATTAAATAAAGGTATAAAAGTATAATGTGAACTCATTTTAGGGTTTGTACTACAGTAACTCATTCAAACACACCGAAAATGACAAATTGTCCACGGATTCCAATCTCATTTTTTGACGGACTTTTCCGTTATTTCCCCATTATGACAAGGAGCACACGGCGAGTGTGACAGGTCGGCAGAGGATGCTCACTTCTCCATGGCACCTGATCCCACCTCTGATGTTTTAGAGGTCCGTGATTCTTCTACTCCTAAATTGTAATGTATGAATGACTTTTTTTTTTACCTTGAATACTGTTCGGTATCTCCTTAAATTTCAATCAGCTCAAAGAAGACACATGTGCATTAATTGTAGCTGAATTACTTTAAA